CATTGCACATACGCACATATCTATACACTTATACACATGGGCATACAGACATACATGCAAACATATACATATAAACACACATACCTACACACGTACGCATATACACCTATATATATACACAAAGATACATTTATACATACACATTCATAAATCTATGGATATATACACAATATAACATAAACACACATCCATCTATATACACACACATACATACACATCTCTCTCTCTCTCTCTATATATATATATATATATAGGTAGGTAGTTAAAAAAATTCGTGGTAAGTAATCCAAGTGAATCCTAGTAATATAAAATATTAAAACTGATCCACAGAAGACAGCCCTTTAGCTTTCTATTCCCCCTCCAATTTTAAATCCATTTTCTATTAGTGGTGAATTTCCCTCGTCTTTCTTCCTATTTGCAAAAACATTATGATTCATTTTTTTATCTAACTCCTTGGTCTTGAAAAAACTCGTTCTGAGCGGGAATTTGTCTAATATATTAGAATGGGATGATTGAAGTTGTGTGTCTTATATGTTAATTTGTGTGTATATGACTAGTATGTATGCATGAATGTGTGTGTGTGTATATATATATATATATATATATATATATGTGTGTGTGTGTGTGTGCTTGTATATGCGTATTTGTATGTATGTGTAAATATGTATGTATATTTTTATATGTTTGTGTATATGTATACACGTGTGTATAGATATGTGTAGATGTACAACGCATATTTTACTTTTTCACTGTTTTTCTTTTTGTGTGTGTGTGTGTATATATATATATATATATATATATATATATATATATGTATGTGATTTTTTTTTTTAGATTAGATGATGATGACATGTAAATTTGATGTATTTTCAATGTCTTTCACTGGCTGTAACTTTGTATTTCCTCTACCAACCCTGTTCGTTGGGTTGACACTTTGTTTTTCTTTCCCACTTACTCTTATCTCTTCTAGGATTTTCTCGGTCAAATCTTTTATTCATTGCCTCTTTTAATTTTTAATAAATTCTCTGGATGATTTAAACCATTTTATAACTCCGGTCTGATGAGGCAGTTGTCTGTCTGAAATAAATTATTACCAAACTCTTTAATGATGTATTGAGTTTTTCCTTTGAGATATATATATATATATATATATATATATATATATATATATATGTGTGTGTGTGTGTGTGTGTGTATTTGTGTGTTTTATATGTGCGTGCGTTTGATGTGTTTGTACAGTGAGAGCTGGGGGTGGATAAAAGGAATTGTGTTAGATGTAAAATAACCGAACTGCGATTTATATTAGAACAATTATATAGTTGTTCCTTACCGTACGATGCTACCTAAAGTTTGATTAAAATCTAAGTATTATCGGGCAGTGAGGAACAATTATATAATTCTTTCTAATATGAAACTCAGCTCTGTTATTTTACACCATGCACATATTTTTCAAAATTAGTTTTGAAATACAGTGGAGTAGTGGATAGCGTCTTGGATTGATGAATTGGAGAGCCGAGTTCGAATTACTGCCGAATCCATTACATTCACTTACTTGGGAAATATATGAATCCTCTTCTCTCTCCAGTTATGGGTAAATAGCAGGACAGACTGGGTTTCATAGCCTTGGACGGCAACTGGTCTCGGAAAAGGACAACTCTAAATTCAAAACCTGCGGAAGTTCGTTTGGGGACCTTCAAAAAGTGTGGATGGTTCTACGCAAAAACTTCACCACTATAATCAATCACATGTGCTGGTGTCTGGCTGTCAGTTCCTAGGAACTGAGCTGCTTGACCCTCATACGTCGGATACAACGGGAGAGTCAAATATATATATATATATTTATTATTTACAATATTGATATCATTTTGTTGACATTTTATTCTTCAGATTTTGTTAACTGGCCAATTAAATCTACAGTTTCTAAGAAATACACGTGGACCACCTTTCGTTTTAATTATATATATATATATATATATATATAGCCATATCGACCGGAAGTTTCAAAGTCAGGAGTCAAATGTCAAAAATCAGATATTATTCGACCATTGACAGAGTTTCTCTCGCATTTTTGAAGGGCTTAATATTTGAGCCATAACACGCTACCTGGAAATTATAAATAACAATAAAAATAACATAAGTGAATTCGGTGTCGTGAACTCAAACATGGATCATTCATTAAGATTCGCCAACAAAATTAAGTACCTACTTTTCCAGATTTTTTGTTAAGTACAAATCAATTTGTATAAGTAAACTTTTCCTTCCTTTTCGGGGGATTTATTAAAACATACTTCAATGTGTGTTTAATAAATCTTAAAGAAAGAGAGAGAGAGAGAGAGTACATAAACAGTGAATTTGAATACTAACACTGTTGCCATCAATTTCATGCTAGACAATAAGGTAATGTACACAGATATCTGAAAGTATTTAAAATTAGCTTAAAAAGAAATGTCGGGAGAAAGATCGTGTTGCACCAATCCTCCCAATGCTGAATTTCTATCTAGTTTAAAAACAGATGTAATCTTGGCTTTTCACCTGAATTTAAACATCGGCCTTTGGCGCCAATGAAAAATCCGGTTCTTTTAAATACTAAACAGGTGGAACAGGTCTTTTTTTTTTATTTATACAACAATACTTTAGTTGGAGAAAATTCTTTAGAGAAATTCGAAGTGTTAAGGCTTCTTTCTCGATGACTCGATACATAGATGGTCCGATTTATGAAGAAAAATCGAAAGCAATACGGGTGAGAGGAAAAAGGAGAGGGAGGGAGAGAGAGAGAAGGAGAGAGATATAAAGTGAATTCGAGTGATAGAGAAAAGAAGAGTTAAATGAAGAAGACAGAAATAAGGTTACTAAAGAAGACGGAGATCAAAATAGACATTAAAAAGACAGATTGGAGTAGTAAAGTTGACGGAGAGAAAGAGTGGAGTGATAGAGAGAGTACAGAGAAAAAGAGAACTCATAAAAATACATTGGCAATGTGTAGAAGTGTGTGTGTGTGTGTTGTGTGTGTGTGTGCGCGCGTATGTGTTTGCGGAAGAGAGATAGATATATGAATAGATAGGTAGGTAAAGGGAGAGCGAGAGATATAGATAAATATATGGATAGATAGATATATATAGATATACATAGATAGATACACAGGTAGCTAGCTAGAGAGAGAGAGAGATAGAAAGATATATATGTAGGTAGAGAGAGAGAGAGAGAGAGAAAGAGATATAGATAGATCGATCGAAGGAGATTTTATATATATATATATATATATATATATATATATATATTGAGAGATATATAAATAGATAGAGAAAGAGATCGAGATAGGGAGAGAAACAAGGAATATAAAGAGTGAGATTGTTGCAGGTCTTATTTCAAAATGAATCGCCAAATCTTAGCAGAAAGAGCCAAGGCGAAGCACAAGTCCTACAACTGTTGACATGGATCACGAAATCGACATTTGCCATTCAAACATCTTGTTTCCGTCTTCATAAAAGAAACCCTAGATTTGCAATGGTCGTCGATAACGACATACCGTCCATCATCTGACAGCCGAATGACTAGTGTCGTTAACATGGTTCATCACATTTACATGAGACATCCACATCTTTTAAGTAGACTTTAAAAGCTTGCCTTCAAAGAGTATTAAGAAAATTATTATGATGACTGGAGAATTAGTCGGTGAGTTTCGCTCGAGTGTAGTTATATGGAGCGAAAAGATCGAATCTATTGACAATGATATCTAAAGTCTGAAGAGTATCATATCTACGTTTAATATTGGTGCAGTAATGAGTTTTAAACCTAAGTCTGTTCATATATGTCTCTCTGTCTATTCATTCTCTTCATCTATCTCATTTTCTCTATCTATGTCTGTTCAAATCTGTCTATTTCATTTTCTTCATCTATCTAGCTATCCTGCAGCGATAATCCCCGAAAAAAAAAAAAAAAAAAAAAATATATGCAGATTAAAAACTAATTTCTATAAGCAAACACCATTCTTCTTTCTTAGTTGTCATTTTTGAAAGAATTCATTTTTAGACAAAAAAACTGAAAACTAAAAGAAAAAACAACGTCGTTTCAGATCAAGTGTCTGGAAAATCTTTCTAAATTTCATAGCATAAATGAAATTGAATACCATTTTCGAAATCGATAACAATTTCTGCATCAATATTAAGTTACCAACTTGCGCTCACCCCGACCATAAATGTTATGACAACCTAAAATTCGTCATCTTTGTGGTATTTGCCATGTTGATCTTTGTCTTTTTCCTCTGTCCTGTCATTCCCAAATATTGGAAGAACTATGTCGATTGCTTTTCGTTCGTATCTCTCATGCCAATTGCAGATTTGACAAAATAGGAATGTGAGAAAAAGTTGGAAATGTTCAGAACGACAAGCGCGACTGCTGAAAAGCTCCATTGTGTATGTGAGTTCCTCTTGTCATGATGCGCTCCAGAAAAATTATCAACAATTCTTTGCGCTTTCTAAAGTCGTGGAAGACGTCAAAATAATAAATGGTAATCGATAGCATTAATCGGAAAAATATTGCCAAAGAAAACAGAACTTCCAACGTGATGGAGAAAATGTTGTTGTTTGCGTATATATCTGTCAGTTCAGATGCATGTGTTTGAATGTATATGTGCCAATGTATTCTCTCTCCCTCTCTATCTATATATGTACAAATGCACACACACACACATGTACACATACTCATACACTCAATCTGTTGTGTTTATAGGAAAATATCTCAAGTATTGGAAATATGTGTATATATAGTTGCAGCAAAAATTTTAAGACCATCGAACATTTATTACGGCTTATCAACCTTTTGTGGATTATTTAAAGCCAAAACAGTTTTAGATTGTAAGAATATTTTTTGTGACAATATTTATTAACATTTATTTTGAGATAATGATTTTCAGATAAAAGCCCGAGCGAAGAGATGGATTCTTTCCCAAGGATATTTGTTCATTCAGAGTCGTTAGTCATTACACCAGTCGCACGTCCGTGCTTACAGTACCTCGTATTCCCAAGCGGTCACAGTTCTAAGTACTAACCCGGCTCGATGACGCTTAATTTCGGGGATCGAACGAGAGAAAGTGTTTCAAAACGAAATAAATGTAACCTCCCCCTAGACTCAGTTCAATACATCAAATTTATTAAAGGTCGTTTATTTTCTATGAATTTCAATATAGACTAGTTGTTTGTATGGCCCCCATTCGCCTTGATAGCAGCGTCAATATGGCAAGGGATGTTGGCTATGTGAGCGGCAATATTCTGCTGAAATCCCAGAAGTCCAGACATTCTTCATAGGGTTTACAAAAGTCTTTGTATTGTTTAGTTGTTTCTCTGCAACTTTATTCTTTATGTAAAATCAAACACAAATTTTCTATAGGAATAATTGCAGGACTGTTGTCTTGACATTCCAACGGAGTGGCATTGGCCTTCTTAAGATAGTCCGTTTATTCTGCAATATTATTCAAATATCTTCCAGGGCCCGGAATATATAAAACAGCTCTTGCAAACTCATCCAACTTGGAAGGTGTTTCACTGTCTGGATGATACATTTTTCGTGCTATTTTTCTCCTGAAGCTAATCTGATATACCGCTGATGCAAACTAAATTGTTACCGTGTAGATCTACCAGTGAACATTTTCCTCATTATCCATGTTTTGGGGGTTAATTCAAGACGCTTCTTTTTTTTTTTTCCATTTCCACATTTTCGGGAAGAGTTTTTGTAGAGGATTTTGACTGGAATTCATTAACCACTTTGCAAGAAACAGTTCAATGATCCACATCAGGACCCTGAGAAGCAGAGTAGCTGACACATTATTTCCTGAAAACTAATCTTTAGAACAATTTCACAGGTTTCAAAGTAGACAAAAATCTGTGTTACATTGTTTCAAACTTAAATATGATGTAATATTGTAGTTTGTTTGCATTAACTAAACACTACAATAATGGAGAAATGTTAATTTCTAAAATGTCGACTTAAACGTTTCCAAAGATTGTTGTTCAAATTGGCTGTGACGTTTTCTGGGGCCGAGCGGTCTAAAGCACTCCGATCAGACAGGGCTTCTCACCTATAAAGTAGTACGCAGGTTCGAACCCTGCCAGAGATCACATTTTCTTTCCTCAGTTTTCTCAAGTGCGAAGGCCGGTAACGTAATGCACACTTAAAATAACAAAAATGCGGGCGTCTACTCAAACACGGGTATCCACTAAAGTAACAGTTAAAGTAATATTATATATATATATATATATATATATATATATATATATATATATATTACTATAAGTGTTATATTAATAGCTACGTTTGTTTCAGTAGACATATTCATATTTATATATATATATATATATATATATATATTATATATATATATATATATATATGAAACAAGTATGTCTACTCTCTCTCATATATATATATATATATATATATATATATATATATATATAACTTTGTATAATTTTATACATCAACATACAGTATTTGGAAAAATATGACAAACTGGAAAGTTTGTTGTGACGTCTTTTCATCCGTTAGATTTCATCAGCCTGGACTTTGTTGATGTTGTTATGTCTACTCATGCGCACGAAACAAGAGACACAGGTAGTTTAAAAAAAATTGAAAGAATATTTTTGAAAGACATAACATAGCAACAAAATTAAGTGTAGAATGATTATTGGATTTTATTTAAGAGCACTCAGAATTTGCAGCCCTTAATATTTACAGGAAGAAGAGAAAACACATTCAAGAACATTTAATACTCTATTTCATTTTCAATGTGAAACAAAAAGCTCAAAAAATATTTCAAAATAGAAGAACTGTCCTTCCTGATAAACCCAACTCAAATATATCATATATAACTAACTCTATCACAACTATAACTGAAAAGAATTAATATAAACTCAACGTAAAATTTGTCACAACTACATCTCCTTAATAAAAAAACAAAACATCAGGCAAAACTTGAAGGAGGACTTTACTCTCTCAAACACAGGAATTGCCAGAATGAATACATTGGAGAAACGCCATGAAGTGTAAATAAAATACTATATGAACACAAAAAGAAAGTTTTAAAATAACGACACAAAAAACGCATTGGTTGTTCACCGTAACAAAAAAAAAAAACCCCAAAAAACAAAAAAAAACAAAAAAAAAAAAAAACGAAAACAATTTTGACATAGGGAATGCTACCTTGATTAAACAGAAAATAATCCACTGAGACAAAAATGTCTGGAAAGTGCCTTGATTGCTAATTCAACCACGGTAAGGTCCAGGCACTTACAATATATCACCATTCTTGGTAGATCTTCTGTTGTCACAATGTTACATTGTCAGGGACAAAGGTGATGGAGAGAAAAAAGAAAAAGAATACAGATGAATTTAGCTAGATTGAAACAAAAATATTCTTTCAAATTTATTCTTTCAAAAACTTAAAACTGCGTTTCTCGTTTCATGCGCATGTGTAGACGTGGCAACATCAAAAGGCCCAGTCTGATGAAATCTTAACGGATGAAATGTGTCAAGAAATTTTCCAGTTTTTCATTTTTCTATATAATTCAAGCTACCATTTATCCCGAAGAAAATAGATCAAATGGTATTTTTGCGGGGGAATGGAACAAAGATTTTCTAATCATACGCATTCTTTTTCCAACACAAGACTGAAGCACCAAACTGCTCTCTCTAAAAAGTTTTGGGAACTGAAAGAAAAGACCTGAACCCTAAAACTGACTGGGAATTCATATTTTTTTTCTCAAACTCTTAGTAACTTTAAAGGTAGATATAATTTATGACTAGAAGAGAAAATCAGAATTATTAAATTTGACAATCAAAATATTTTACTGAAAGAAATGAATTGGTTCCAAATGTTATCATAGAAGCAAATTCAAACTGATATAATACATTTTCAACCTCGGACAATCCTTTATCCTTTACCATATATAGTTTCATTTTCTTTCCTGATCACTACTTTCAAATTACCTTCTTCCTATCTGTTGTTTTAGTTGATAATTCTTTGTATCAAGTTAGCTTTATGTAATACTCTTATTTAACCTTATATTATTATTTTTTAATTGTTGGCTGTAATTTGTCTAATGTCTTTTACAGTCATGTTTCCCTCCCCCTCTTTACATTTAATCTATAATTAATTTAAATGATTTATTTATATCTCACCGATATGGTAATTGTTCGCATTCACTTAGTAATTCATTGATTGATATATATATTTTTATATATATATATTTTTTAGGATTTTGTTTATCCCTTTTTTTAAGATTAATATTAACCCCTCCTTATTTAAATTATAACATTTTTTTTAAATTTGTCTACGCTATTTAAAATATTTTAAATAAGGTTTTCTTCCGAAAAATAGTTTTAAAATTTTAAAATATATGTTAATTATTAAAATTTCCTTAATATTATCTTTAAAACATTTTCTAAATTTTTAAAGATTGTATTTCCTTATGTAATTTCTCATACTGAATAAGAGTTAACATTAAATATAGGCCAAGGTCAGCCCATGTTTAGATGAATTTGAAAATTTTTTTATCTTAATTTCTCTCCTTTAATCTCTATCTCTCTCCTAAATTTAGTCTTTTTTCTCTTTCTCTTCCCTTTTTAAATACATGTGCTCTTCGTTGTGATTTTCCTTCCACTTTCGTTCTATTTGCAAAAGTACTCCTTAGTGTTGACAGGATATATATATATATATATATATATATATATATATATATATAATCCAGGTGGACCTTAATAATATCAAATATTAAAACTGATCCACAAAAAGAGCATAATGTATTTATTATAACAGAACATAAATTACACAACAAAATCTCAAATTACCTCATATGAGTATAGATCTATTTTAGCCAACGGGAAGTATGTCGGACTTATTCAACCCCGGTAGTTGGACTGTGTCCGTGTCGGAATTAGAGATTTAAAATTTATCTTTGACAGGAGTAGAAAAATTGATACTGAATCTACCCATGTCGACACCCCAGTAATAATAGGTTTGTTTTGCATTCAACATCATCACTTGATAAAACACCGGGAGTGTTGAAACAAAATGGCTATTTTTGTAGTGATTTTATAACATGTTTATGTTATAAATTTTCTAAATAATATATATATATATATATATATATATATATATATATATATATATATATATATATTGATTGATTGGGTGTATTTGAGCAGCAGATTTTCATCTATACTTCTTATTAATGTTCCGTGTACCCTCATGAAAAAGGCGGTCATGGCTCTCCACAATTTCATGTCCTTTGTAGCTTTTTTTTGGTTAAGGATTGTTTTTATTTATTCTGTATTTCGGATAGTTTTATGGTTTACAGTATATATTAAAATATAAATTATACAACATCTGAATGCGTTCGGCGTTCATAACTTATCGTCAAAGAGTTTTTTTTCCTTCTATGTCGAGTTCCACATTTTCAAATATCGTTTTTTCGCGTCTTCGCGAGACCTTTCATAATTTTCGTTTTTTATATTAATGAAATATATTCGATGTTTGTTTTTAAAGTTGATAACATTTTGTTGATTTTGGATGTTTGTTTTTTATGCTTAGTGTATCGAATATTTGTATTAATTATTTCTTACAGTCTATGTGATGCAATATTTTTCATTTATTTGTAAGGATTTGTTGGATTGGCGTGTTTTATAGTTTTGTTGTTTAGTGACATGTAGTTTAATTTAACTATTATTAGTAGCCAGGTATTGAACTCATAACTCTTTGTCATTGGATCCAACCAACGCTTTTATTCACTGGGATGTCTTTGAGGATATCAGTGTATGAATCTTTGGAACTTATAAACAATATATCAGGAAATATTTTTTTTTACCAGAGCTCATATTACAATTTTTTTATTATTGTTGTTTTTCTCTAGCACTCCATATTACTGGTTCCCATATTGTATTTATTTCTATGCTTGGCTGACTTAGGAGATTTTTGTGGCCTAGCATATGTGCTGATTCCTTAAGTTTTTGCATTTTCCAGTGATGTTTTCCGTCTATTATTTCAACCCCACCCCAGAGGGGGGTGTTGATCGTCCTTTCCCCTTCATATGTGGTCATCTACGCCT